CTAACAGCACTTGCTCCAGCAGTCTGTTGAGGCTATACGGGGGTTCTTTGACTGTGAAGGGACCTGAACGTGCGTGCGTTGCACAAGTCTCAGGACCCTAAAGGTTCTTACTCTGGAATGTTGGGCCCAGAAGAGACTGCATCGTAGGCGCCTTAAACTTGCCACAAACTAATGTGTGTTGTATCTGTACGACTGGGAAGCATTAATCTCAGGAGTCTATCCTGCTCATGGCTACTGTTGGGAGATGTGGGTCGAGAGGAGTGGTTCCCGACCTGTGAGCTGTAGACCACACGGCCATGTTAATTGCCCTGCAGAACTGTTGCCGATTTTATTCACGAAACCTTTCTTGTATACACTGCAAGTTATTCCGCAATTTGTTTTGAGGGTTGACAGTGAACGTGGCTCCAGAAAGGGTGGGAACCACTGCGCTAGAAGATCCACACTGTGACTGCTTGGAAGAGATTAGTTTCTTAGTGCCATGCTGCACATGTTTGGTCTTGAGAAATATTCGGCGCTCAGGTCTATTGTTTTTATATTTAAAATACTTACGATTGTAATCCTTGTTCTAAGTCAATATGTAGAAAATATATATTTTTAAAGCTTTGGCCAAAAATCCACGATTTAGTCATTTGCTGGTGTAAAAGAGAAATATTTCTATTAAAAAAAAAACTCTGGTCCTAGAGACCCATAAACTGAGATAAATATAAGATGTTTTCAACAATACCGAGTCTTGTCTGTTAATCATCTTATCACGAAACGCCTGCAGCTGGGAAGCTCCACTGCAGGCAAGTGAACACTCGCGAGGGGCGAGGGGTTCGTTTTGTACGGCACAAACGTGAACGTTCATCTCAAGGGCAGGGACCTGGCTCAAGCTCACTCCATCCCTCTCCACCCCACTCCACCCCTCTCCATCCCACTCCACCCCACTCCACCCCACTCCATCCCACTCCACCCCACTCCACCCCACTCCATCCCACTCCATCCCACTCCATCCCACTCCACCCCACTCCACCCCTCTCCATCCCACTCCACCCCACTCCACCCCACTCCATCCCACTCCATCCCACTCCATCCCACTCCACCCCACTCCACCCCTCTCCATCCCACTCCACCCCTCTCCATCCCACTCCACCCCACTCCACCCCACTCCACCCCACTCCACCCCACTCCACCCCACTCCACCCCACTCCACCCCTCTCCACCCCACTCCATCCCTCTCCACCCCACTCCATCCCTCTCCACCCCACTCCACCCCACTCCACCCCTCTCCACCCCACTCCATCCCTCTCCACCCCACTCCATCCCACTCCACCCCACTCCACCCCTCTCCACCCCACTCCATCCCTCTCCACCCCACTCCACCCCTCTCCACCCCACTCCATCCCTCTCCACCCCACCCCACCTCACTCCATCCCACTCCATCCCATTCCACCCCACTCCACCCCACTCCATCCCACTCCATCCCACTCCATCCCACTCCACCCCACTCCACCCCTCTCCATCCCACTCCACCCCACTCCACCCCACTCCACCCCACTCCACCCCTCTCCATCCCACTCCACCCCTCTCCATCCCACTCCACCCCACTCCACCCCACTCCACCCCACTCCACCCCACTCCATCCCACTCCATCCCACTCCATCCCACTCCATCCCACTCCATCCCACTCCATCCCACTCCACCCCACTCCACCCCTCTCCATCCCACTCCACCCCTCTCCATCCACTCCACCCACTCCACCCCCACTCCACCCCACTCCACCCCACTCCACCCCACTCCACCCCACTCCACCCCACTCCACCCCACTCCACCCCACTCCACCCCTCTCCACCCCACTCCATCCTCTCCACCCCACTCCATCCCTCTCCACCCCACTCCACCCCACTCCACCCCTCTCCACCCCACTCCATCCCTCTCCACCCCACTCCATCCCACTCCACCCCACTCCACCCCTCTCCACCCCACTCCATCCCTCTCCACCCCACCCCACCTCACTCCATCCCACTCCATCCCACTCCACCCCACCCCACCTCACTCCATCCCACTCCATCCCACTCCACCCCACCCCACCTCACTCCATCCCACTCCACCCCACTCTATCCCTCTCCATCCCACTCCACCCCACTCCACCCCTCTCCATCCCACTCCACCCCACTCCACCCAACTCCACCCAACTCCACCCCACTCTATCCCACTCCACCCCTCTCCATCCCACTCCATCCCACTCCATCCCACTCCACCCCACTCCACCCCACTCCACCCCACTCCACCCCACTCTATCCCTCTCCACCCCACTCTATCCCTCTCCACCCCACTCCACCCCACTCTATCCCTCTCCACCCCACTCCACCCCACTCTATCCCTCTCCACCCCACTCTATCCCTCTCCACCCCACTCTATCCCACTCCACCCCACTCCACCCCACTCCACCCCACTCCACCCCACTCTATCCCTCTCCACCCCACTCTATCCCTCTCCACCCCCACTCCACCCCACTCTATCCCTCTCCACCCCACTCCACCCCACTCTATCCCTCTCCACCCCACTCTATCCCTCTCCACCCCACTCCACCCCACTCTATCCCTCTCCACCCCACTCCACCCCACTCTATCCCTCTCCACCCCACTCTATCCCTCTCCACCCCACTCCACCCCACTCTATCCCTCTCCACCCCACTCCACCCCACTCTATCCCTCTCCACCCCACTCTATCCCTCTCCACCCCACTCCACCCCACTCTATCCCTCTCCACCCCACTCCACCCCACTCTATCCCTCTCCACCCCACTCCACCCCACTCTATCCCCTCTCCACCCCACTCTATCCCACTCCACCCCACTCTATCCCTCTCCACCCCACTCCACCCCACTCTATCCCTCTCCACCCCACTCCACCCCACTCTATCCCTCTCCACCCCACTCCACCCCACTCTATCCCTCTCTATCTCCCTCTCCCTGAATCTCCCTCCACCCCCCTCCCCCCCCCCCTCCACCGCCCCCTCCATTCCCCACCCCCCCCCCTCCATCCCACTCCGTCGGGTGATTTGCCACAAGTGGTTGTAATCGCAAGCAGAGCGTCGTATTCGAATTGTTGTGGGCTTCCTCTCCATCACACCGATGTGCTTTAGGCGCTAATTGGCACGTTTCTTGTTCACGTGACAAACCTTACTCATTGGCTGTGTCGGGTGGTGGTGGGTTCACGACACGTTTATTTTCACGCGATCCAACCCAAACCGCCTGTGTTATGAATCACTGAAACTCATCACGCAGCTGCACTTCTCCCTGGCGGTCAAACCACGCCACTGCACAAATCCACATCGACCAAAAACCCAGCGGATTCGTCCCACGTTCATTTGTCCCCTCCACATCAAAAATACAAAAATAAAATGTAGCCACAAAAATATTTCTGAGTGCACAATTTTAGCAGCACCCTTGGTGGTTTAACTACAAGAAAAAAAACATTCTGGACTGGTTTCGACATTCAGTGGCTCATCATCAGTCAGGATCGCTTGAGAATAAAAAAACACGGCGCTCAAGGTAACAAAGATAAACTATGAAGGTGCAGCCCTTGCAACTGCTCGCTCACGCCACTGCAGGCGGAAGAGCCTCCACTAGAGGGCGCTCTGCACAGCCCCTCTAGCCAGGGGCAAAGGGCTTGGCGATCCGTGGTGGCTAGGAGATGTTAACCAACTCGCCTGGTATACAGGAGGTCGTGTGTTCGATCCCGATCCTGACAGCTGCTGTGCATTTGGAGTTTGCGGTGTCTCCCTCCTCGTGATCTCGAATCAACATCGCGCCTTCAGATTGTTTGGCTGCAATAAATGTCATCATGGTGATCAGCCACGAAGTTGAGCTGCCATTTGTAGTGGCCTGCAGGTCGCTTCTGAAAAAGAGCGACATCGCTCAGTGGGGCCTTACCTGGTAAAATAAAAATAGTTGAGTTTGTAGGCTTTAACTATATTATTGTACTTACACCGTGTATTGGGTTGAGATAAAGACAGTCTCACAGTGACAATATCAATGAAACATGTACAGGTTACACAACTCACAGTGAAGTAAAAGTCTCAAATTTCTCCATGAAAACGTTGGCTACAACCGGAGATAGGGGAGCGCCCATTGGAGTGCCCTCAGTTTGTTTGTAGAAAGTTCCATTCCAGGTGAAGTATGTATTGCTTAAGCAGTGTCTCACCAGGGGGGGTACCTCAGTATTCAGTCCTTGATGAACCAAGTCTTCAATGATTGCGATGGTGTCAGGTACAGGAACTTTGGTGAATAAAGAAACCACATCAACACTGACAAGCAGGTCGTCTGCTTGTCAGTTGTAGTCAACGTTTTCATGGAGAAATTTGAGACTGACGCCATCCAGACTGCCACTCTACGCCCGACCTTATGGAAGAGGTAGGTAGATGACACTTTTGTTATCTGGCCACATGGCCGGCCTGCTCTAGACCAATTCCTCGACCACATCAATTCCATACACCCAGCCATCAGATTCACCATGGAAGTCGAAAATAATGGCAAGCTACCCTTTTTGGATGTCCTAATTAAAAGGAGACCTGATGGTTCAATGAGCCACTGTCTACAGGAAAGCCACCCATACGGATGCTTACCTAAAACCGGATTCCCACCACCATCCATCCCAGAAAAATTCCCTCATCAAGACTCTACACCATAGAGCCCAATGCATCTCCGACCAGGAACACATTGCCAGTGAACTCAAGCACGCGGCGGGCGGCGCTGCCTTTCCCGGCGACTGACGATGCCGCGGTGGGGCCCCTTTGTCGCAGTGTCCCTCACGGGGTGCGGCTCACCCACACAACACCGCCACGGCATTCGTGTGGACGCACCACACGAGACGCGCCATGCCACTGCGCTCGTATTCAGGGCAAGAAGACATCAACGCGGGTTTTGCAGGCAAACAACATTTATTAAGCGACACGTGACAATGTTTCATGTAGATAAATATTATGCATTCGTGACCGTATGGCTTCATTTGAAAAAAAAATTGGATTTTTAAAATATATAAACATGTGTGCGCTCTTCGAATATAAAATTCCCTGAGGTTTGCGGCTCAAGGCAATACAGTTGGTACAACACTTTAGCAGTTCCAAGGCACAGACGGTTGGCAACAGTTCATGACCAGTAGCAGCATCGTGGTCAATAGTCAGGAAACGACTCCACACACAGGGGTTGAATCGTCACAATGTCATCCAAATCGCTCGTGCATTCTATTCTATTCCACTGCTAACAGGTGCAGTGCAAACGTTACATTAGACATAAACGAATGGTAAAGTAATCGTAGCTTACATCCAAGGCACTTTACACGTGGTACAATGAGGTTAGATAAAGGTGGCGTGTGAGAGGAGGGGAAAGAGGGGAAGGGGACAGGGATGGGTACGGGGAGGATGGGGACCAGGGAGAAGAGGCCGGGGCCTTGAGCGAGGAGTGGAAACGGTGATTGTGCGTAAGGTGCCGAGTACTGCGAGTGTAACAAACCGTCTCAATCAATCAGTCGATGCATAAAAACTTGACCAGCACACATGTAAAGTACCCTACACACATCATCGATCGGTACCATCACTCATCAACATCATAGATATGACCACCGGATGGGCCACGGGAATGTAGAACTAGCGGCAGTATTGCGTAGTCAACACTGGACCCTGCCACAGGAAATGTAATTGCACTGGCCAGCTCACAACAACACAGAGGTCGGCACGGAGACGCTCGGTCTGGCTCGCTGTGGGTTCAACCGAGCGGCAGAGCCGACCCGTTTTCAGAGGAACGTGTCTCTGTGCACATCGCTAAAGTGGTTACGTTGTTCACGAGTCTCAAAATAATTTACTGCTTGCTGCTGTTGCTGCCCGTGAGGGTGTTCAAGTGCAGATTGTAAATATCAAGCGGTTTTGATCCCACGCACTTTGATCAGATTGACAGCAATTACCAAAACAACTTCACAACTGCCAGAGTACTAGCCCTGCCCTCATGCCGACGTTTTTGGCACGAGACTGAGGCAGAAGAAGCAACAAAACTACGAGTAACAAAACAACTCTATTCTAACTAAAGTGTTGGAAGCGACATAAAATTGCTCGGGAGGCTCCAGTCTTCATGCCTGGGTGATGGTGCCGCTCATCCCACAACTCCTTTGGAAGGTCCCATCAGCTGTCCTCCCTCTGCTGCACTCTCTCCTGAGACTATGGATGGAGTGGCACTGTAAAACGAGAAACAAAAGCATCCGTGAGCAAACCACCCGGTAACACGACAAGCCATTGACTAAAGCTCCATGTAAAACCCCGGGGGTTAAATAACCTCGGTAACGACTAAACCTCATCGCTTAATACAATCAATATTCACTAAAACAAAAAACTACGATAGTAACGCACTTTACAGCTTAATATAAATCGTGGTTGCTTGGTAGCACAGAGCCACACGAGGCAGGCAGATCAGTTAAATGTCCACTTGGCAGTCCAGATGCTTTTAGGCACTGGGTCATCGGACTGCGGTTGGGAAATGCCTCGTCCACGTTCACTCATCAGGAGCTGGGTAGGGGGGGGGGGTCGTGGTGCCTGGGCTGAAAGGGGGGGCACCTTCGGCAAGGCCCACTGAGCTACGTCGCTCTTTATCAGAAGCGACCACCTGGCCATCACAAATGATATGCTCGACGCAGTGGCCGATATCATCATCATCATCACGTGGGGAATGTATAGGAGCGCCCAAAATACTCTAAACGCGTGGTGACGTTGATTGTACATGTGGAGGGGAAAAACCTGAGGAGCCGGAAGAAAATCCACGTGACCACCACGGGGAGAGAGAGAGACACACAAGCTCCAAATACACAGCAAGCATCAGGGTGGGGATCGAACCCACGACCTCCTCCATACGAGGCGAGGTCGTTAAATCTCATAGCCACCGTAATGATGAGAGAGAGACACAGACTCAAAATATACAGCAGCAGGCATCGTCGGGGTCGGAATGGAACCCACGACATCCTCTGTACCAGGCGAGGTAGTTAACATCTCATAGCCACGGCGTTGTATCTTGCTGACTCGCCCCCTACTGAACATCTGTGAAAAAATCTTCACAGCTCATCGGATTCCTCCGGCCTGAATAAAGATTCAGATTCTGTTGTCGCTAACACAGCCGTTGATAAAAACATTGTACGAGTCAGCCAGGAGCTCGGTGTTGGCTCAGCATCCCCAGCACAGCCGCTGTGAACCCAGACCCGGCGGTGCGTGAACGTGAAACCTCGTCAGTGACACCGAGTGGAAGGCCACCGAGAGAGCTCAGCCCGTCTGCCGACGTCCACGCTCATTCACCAGCGGCTGGGCTGGGCGGGTGCCTGGGCTGGAGAAGGGGAAGTACCTGGGTGAGTGGAGGCAGAGCCCTGAAGACCGATGGCGTTTCTTCTTCTTCCAGACAAAGACGGAGACGACGATGATGATGATGGAGATGACGGAGATGATGGAGATGACGACAGGCAGGACCCAGGCAGCCACCACCCCTCCCTTGTGTGAGGTCTCCTCTCGAGGGGCGAGGGTGGCGTCACTCACGCCCCCACCGTGTGACTGTGGGGCTGCAGAGACAAAGAGACAGAGAGGGGGCGCTCAGCGTGACCCCCACCTCGCAACCAGCACCATTCCTGGCTGAGATTCACTCAGCTCTGTACAAATGCCCACTCTAGTCCTGCACCAGTTTTTCCATTACCCTTGACCTCCCGGCCTCAACCAGTTGGATCTCTACTATTTGTTTTTTTCGGTAAGCAAAATTGCTGTGACGGTGCCACCTGAAGACATAAACTTGTGTTGCCTCCGAAACGTCGTGATAAAAAATTTTTTTACCTACGTGACTTTACCGAAAAAACCAAAGAGGTTGGACCCTTTCAGTCAAATCTAGAATCAGTTGGATCTCGTGCACCGTGCAACGCAGGTTCCCCCATAATCGCTTCATCCGTTTTGAACAACGTCGTGACGAACGGTGATCATTTTATTTTACATTTTTTATCTGATAAATTATAAAACAAAAAACTAAATAATGAAAGTTGTAAAACGAACGTGCATTATCCATTAAATGAGTGCTTTGCCAATTGTTAAGGCGAATAAATTATACCACATCCTCATATTCCGTGCATTATTCATTGCATAACTGACATCGCGCGTTAGCATTAGAGGACTCGTGTAGTCCTCGTCTTCATGCGTGCGAAAAGTAAAGCAAAGCAAATCACCAACATAATGAATGTGAACAAACTAATACGAGGTAATCATGTTGCCAAAGTTAACTAGTTAGAGTGGTGAGGAGTTTTATAGCAGCAAGGGTGGCTGTATCAGCTACAACACCACACTCAGCTCTTGTTCACCTGCAGCCATCACGTTCAGCACCACCTCCCCTTGCACCTTGGTGTTCTCCGCGTTACATCGGTAACATTCGATGCGGCACAGAAGCACGGGGCCGAAGCTCCCGGGGAAGTTGGGGATGCCGATGGAGCAGTCTCCCATCAGCACGTCTCCCACAGACTTAACGATACACAAGGGGTGCATTTCATCCCCCGATTGATAAATCTGCAATGACACAAACCACAATATGGAAGGTCAACCACAATGGCACACGATGCCCACGGTAAAATCGTCCTGAATGCCCCTGGGCTCGTTGGATGTCGCTAGCTCAGCAGGCTTGAGCTCGGTTACCACCTAGATGGGAGACCTCCTGGGAACACCAAGCGTTGTAGGTTTCGGCTGCAAGGCGACAAGGGGATGGCAAAATATCAATGTTGAGTTTGCGTAGCGTGTTGAGAGTGGGTCTACCTGTGGACTTGAATCTGTGTAGAGTATTGCGTGTAATCCCCCTCGTATTAAACACGAGTGTCATCAGGTACTCTGGTTTCCCTCCACATGAAGCCAAACTCTCATTAATGTACCGTCATTGGGCAAAGATCTCAGAGCAGTGCCTTCTTGAAATGGAGTTGTGAGACTAATTGGGACATTTCTGGGTAATTAAAGGGCACCACGTAACTTTGTTATTATGTTAGTGTTGACGTAGACATCATGTACGGAGATAATTATTCACGGTTGACATGAAGTGCGGCCGTCACCTTCTTCATCTCTTTTCTGGTCATGTTCTCTGCGTAGTGTCTGGGCATCGTGAAACACTGGAGGACGATGTGGTCCAGGTGGGTTGCCGGTGGGTAGAAGGAGCAGGGAATAGTCACGTTCTCTCCCTCCGTCACAGACAGACTCTGCGGAAGAGTGATCTGGAGCTTCGCAATCGATGCCGCATCTACAGGGAGACCGGTCACACTCGTTACAGATACAGGAGTATCCCTCAGTTTATAATACAGTTTTTTTGGGTTAGATCGCGCAAATATATAAATGTGTCGGTAAACCCACCACCACCCGACACAGCCAATTAGTAAGGTTTGTCACGTAAACAGAACGTGCCAATTCGTCACTAGTACAGCACTAACCGGTGTGTTGGAGAGCAAAGGGACAACATTTCCAATCTGAGTACGACGTTACGCCAGAAATTACCCCCGGCATCATCAGGCGACAGCCAGATTTGTGGAGATATCCTCCTGTTTCGTTCCTTAAATAGAGGGGTAGATGTGATGACAACACTTGTGAGCGAACTTGCGTGAAGTGTGGGGGGAGGGAATTAATGAATGTATATAAATGACTATGGGTATCCATTTCCAGTTGGGTTATTTGTATGGTTCAGTTTACGAAATTTCTCCTTTAACGCAACTGACAAATTATTAACTCTTTTCGAGTTAGAAAATCTAATTTCCAAGTGAACAAAATTTCACTGCGGCATGCACCATGACATCGTCAAACAAGAAGTGCACGGGAGGCTGCATCACCCATCGGCGACAGCGTCACGCTACCCCCACAGCGCACAACAGCAACGCCTGCACATCACCGTCACAAAGGGTTGATTATTTATCATTTATTAATTATTACTCAATCGTGTTTAATTTTTATGTTCTTTAGTATTATTTTAGTGATATCAGTGATGCATATTTTTTAGGTTAGGAGTATATTTGGAATGAATGTCCGAAACACATCCATCATTTTTAGTATTCAATTGCAGTCAAGGTAAAAGCCATTCCGATTACTAAAATGTCGTTAAATCTACAGAGACATCGCTTACACTCGTTACGCCACTCTGCAAAGGTTCGTCCAGTGGTAACAGGGCCACCGAGAGATCTTGAAAGTGCCGTTAAACTCAGGAGTGCTACACCATCTACATTTGTAATTGTGGAGAATAGATAAATTAAACTACGACCTCAACAGAAGCTACAACACGGTGAGCTCCGCGTAGCATCAGCTATCGGAGAGGAAGGCCGCTCACCTGGTGAGCGCAGTGAAACGTCTCCCCCTCGACCAAATCTTAGGGCTGCCTCCCCCACCGTCAGTGCCCAGACTCAGAGCGGCCACTCGCGAGCCGAGTCTCAGCGGAGCGCGCGGCCCGGGAGCCACTGGCAGGGCCAGGGCGGTGTCACAGGGGTCACATGACCGTGACCTCATCGTCACCGTGGTTTAATTAAAAACTATTCTAATTAGCAGGTAAGGCCCACTCAGCTATGTAGCTATTTTTTTCAAAAAGTGACCTGGCCTCAAATGACAGCTCAACGAAGTGGCTTGTCGTGCTGAAATTTACATCCGCACAATAATCGAAATGCACGTTGATTATAAATGTGGAGGAAAAAAACAGAGAACCCGGAGACAAATCCACGTGACCACAGGGAGAGAGACACGCAAACTCCAAATATACAGCAGCAGGCGTCAGGGTCAGAATTGAACCCACAACCTCCTCCATTCCAGGCGAGGGAGGTAACAGTGAACTCTCACCTGGCTAACGAAAGGGCACCGTCCAATGTGTGCTGGGTGAGTGGCTCTGGGTGTGAACTCACCCAGAAGGGAGATGAACACTGGGATGAGGACCAGCTTCATGGTCGGCTCTGTCTGCTGATGATAACAAAAGAGAATGAGTCATTAGTCCATCTCACGGCCTCACTCCAATGCTCCCTCACTTTCACATCACTCCGCTTCTACATCTTAACATCTGTAACGTCAGAGATGAGATGCATCTTTTGGATTTGGTTTTCCCATCTGCAATAATATAAATTATCACTGTCATCGTGCTGCATGGGCACTGGTTTACAAGTGAAATAAAACGATGTTCTGTGTATGCCAAGGCACAGTCATCCTGTCACCGAATCACACCCCGAGCCCTGCTGCCTGAACTGGACACTGCAGTCGAATCCTGCACACACAGGCGCGACAAAGCATCTGGTTCGTGTGGATGTTGAACTTCTTTCGCGCCGTACGGAGCCAACCGTAGCTAAGCGGCGTTGATGTTGCGTAGGCTGGGAACCTTTCAAAGAAGAACAAGGAGCAGACAATTTGTTTCGTTTTTCTTCTTGACACATCTCACACACAGAGATATTTGTAGACAAAGATCTCCCGTACAGCCTGAGCAGACTGTTGGGGCAAGTGAAGGCCGGAACGGCACACGAGGGGGTGGGTGGCCGGCACCACGCCCGGCCGCCTTTGTCTCCCCAGCTGCAATGTTCACTACACTACAACACCAGGTACTCATTTGAGGTTGAGTCGACCTGGGGGGAGGACCAGGACCGGTACAGATAATCGTCACTGGTGTTGGCCGTCAGCGGGAATCGAAACCAGATCGCCGGGTTCGTAGCGCAGCGTAGCGCTAACCACTCCACCATCGCTCTCCCCTACCCACACACCCACACACATCTACACACCCACACCAACGCACGACATCTACACACACACCTACACAGCCACACACATCTACACACACAAAGACAAAGATCCCCCGTAAAGCCTTAACAGACTGTCGGGGCAAGTGCTGTTAGCGAGCACCTATGAAGGCCGGCAATGTGGAGCACGAGTTCGATTCCTGCTCACCGCCAATAACAGTGGCGAATATTTGAACCGGTCCTCGGCATCCCCTAGGTCGACTCAGCCTCAAATCAGTACCGAGGGGCGATGTGTAAAGAACGCCACTGGGGGAGACAAAGGCGGCCGGGCGTGGTGCTGGCCACCCACCCCCTCATATCGGAAGTATCCACTTCTAAACCATCCGTCGGCCTCTACCAACTCCCGCCTAAGGAAGGGGGTGTTCCCGTTTAGACGGCAGCGACCACCCCGACACGGGACTCCGTGGAGTTTATACCAACTAATTGTAAACAAAAACAACAACTTGCTATGGTGTTGACAGTGCAGTAACGCGTGTATATTAGCGTGCCACTTCGATATTCGCCGGTGTAGTGAACAGTACACGATAGTATAACGTCAACGTACGTCAGTTTTACACCACGCTTTCGCGAGGAATATCATCCGTATTGTAGTTTTTTTTGGAGGGTTAGATCGTGTAAATATAAATGTCGTTAAACCCGCCACTACCCGACAGATACCATTGTTAATAAGGTTGTAAATGCCGAGATTGTAAATGTTGTGGATTTGCACCCCAACCTGTACTCGGAACTCATTGGCACGTTCTGCTTACGTGACACAAAGCTTACCAATTGTCTGTGTCGGGTGGCGGCTGGTTTAACGGCACATTTATATTTACGTGCTCTAACCCCACACACAAAACCCAAACCTAGAGTACTACAGATCTACACGGGACGTGGTGGCATTGCGTGGTCGCCATTACCCCCCTCCCCCTTCGTGAGAATGGACGCGTCCTGCTGCATGAGAGGACGCCCTCTTTAAATGGTCACGGTGGAGTCGTTCCCTGCTGCGCTGAGCGTTGTCGTCTGCGTGAAACCTCCCGCACGGGTCCCGCTTCGAGCCGTGCCAACAGCGGTGACTGCGTCGGTCACCACTCACGGGGGGAGGGGGGGGTGTGATGATTTGTGTAGCCGCGTGCGACTCGGAGGTGGAAGTGAGTGCGCTCCTCGATCACGACCGCTCTTGCTTCGACCTCTTTACAACGAATCCCGCTTCGCGTTGTCACCATCATCACCACCACCATCATCGCCACCACCATCATCGCCACCACTAACATCACTACCACCATCATCACCATGATCATCAACAACCACCACCACTATCAACAACCGCCATTCGCCACTAAGTGGCAGTGACGTCACCACGACGCTTGTGCCAGGCCATGTGCACCTTGAGGCCAGGTCACGGGACAGACCCAGGTGCCATGGGTCGACTGAGATGACCGAGATGACTAGCTGATGTACCACCTGTGCCCCCTACTGTGCCAACTTGCTGTGCTTTAGCTACCCGGCGCTCCGCTCGTTGTGAGCGTCGCTCCTCCGCCCTCCGTTGTTGGAGGGCGACTGCCTCCAACTATCCAGTAGCGTCCTTCACGAGCCTCCTCCACAGAGGCCGATCTTGACACCGCTGGTACCAGTCATCGGCAAGTCCACTCAGCTCCACGTCCTCCTGTACCACATCACTCCATCTCTTCTCTCGCCCGTGCCGCGCCCGTTTATCCCCCTCGATCCGGCCAAACAAATGCTGTTTGGGCATGCGGAGATCGGGCATGCGGTGATTGGGCATGCAGGCTACATAGCCCAGCCAACGCAGCCTGGCCTGCCGTCACCACCATCACCACCGCTATCACCAACCACCACCACAACTATCACCACCAACCACCATCACAACTATCACCACCAACCACCATGATCGTCGTCGCCCGCTGCCCCAACTACCGTCTCTGCAGACTGCCGGGTGTGCAAGCGCTGTTAGCGAGCGCCTATTAAAGGACGAACGGCACATGAGCGGAGGGCGCCGTTCCGACGTTTTGAGTCACCCCCCAGTGGCGATTTCCCCGACTCATTTGAGGCCGAGTCGACGTAGGGGAGGCCCAGGACCGGGTTCAGACGTTCGTCACCGATGTTGGTGGCCGCGAGCGGCAGTCGAACTTGGGTCACCGCTCACCCACGGCCGACATCACCAACGCGGTCACCGCCATGTTCCCCGGGCTGGGGTTGAGCTCCCCCACTGGGAGCCGCTGGGGGAGGAGTGAACTCCGCTCTCGTCGCACTCCCTGCCGCCAGAGCAGCGCCTCGCTCTCACCCCCTCCAGCCCCCCCTCCTCCCCTTAACGCGACTCACATGTTAACCACAAGCACGTGTGGTTAATGCAGACATTATTCCTTGCAAATGGTTTTATTCTATTTGGTGTTTGAACATCTTAACACCATCTTGATTTGAAGCTTTTGTGACTGCAGGAATCCATTTTCTTTGGTTCTTTCGGTAAAGTCACGTATGCTTGTGTTGTGCCCGAAACGTCGTGATTTATTTATTTTATACCTACGTGACTTTACCAAAAGAACCAAAGATTATCTTAACACAACTCCCTGGTTTATTGCCAGAAAGGGTAAATACCTACTAATCTTATTTTTGCATGTTTTTTATTTTCACTGTCCACTACTCACACTCGTGACACCTACGAGCTGTAGGGGCGGACCTCTTGTCCACTCAGTGGTGCTGTTGGTATTCACGTTCAGCACCACGAGTTGGAAGTCTCATCCCTGGAGTTCCCTGTTGTGGTGCCACATCTTTTACCACACTGCCCCTCAATTCCCTCGCACACGGGGTACTATCTTCACAAGGATTGTGTTTCACTACATGAGGACAAAATTAATCCCGCAACAGAATGATAAATTGTGTTCAATAATTATCTAGCCAAGACAGGGTGCTTCAAAAAAAATGTTAATACTTGAGACTTTGCAACAATACCACCAGAAATGTGCCTCCGCAGCATCAAGTGTGAAAAAAATTAACCCGTAAAAACAAAGTTTTTCACTATAAATCCTTTATATGCGTGGCGGAAAGAGTCCTCTCGTCCTCTGGCTTGAGATGGCTGCCACCTATGGGTCAGATGATTGCCTGGAACCATTAAGCAATTGGTAATTAAATATAATTTATTTTTTTCCTAAAAAGTGTAAAATTTTGGAAAAACATTTTCACGAAAATTGTCACGCACAACGAGTCTGTGTGGAAAATGTCAGCTCGATTGGATCACGGGAAGTGGGTTAAAAAACGACCGAAAGATTTGCACGGTCGTAAGCGCGCAAGCAAGCAAGCAAACGAACTTAATATAAAGGATTTAAATAAAAAACGACCGAAAGATTTGCACGGTCGTAAACGCGCAAGCAAGCAAGCAAGTGAACTTAATATAAAGGATTTTAAAATGGTTTGCATCATCGCCAGTAATACTCGGCGAACAACAATTTCGCGTCCATCTCGGAAAGCAGGTCAGCCGCCCACGAGCTCTACAAAATGGCTTACCACAGGAGTCGGTATCCTTATCATTCCAGCTCTGCAATTCACATCTTGTGCCTCGTGTCCAAGTTTGCGGGAGAGAAGGGCAACTGCTCCCTTTGGCTCTTTACGAATGCTCCATTAGGCTCTTCAACATCTCCAGGATCCTCGGCCCCATGTTTACGTGCCATGTCTACTGTTACAGCTGTGGGACAGATGACGAGCAGGGCGAAGGAGAGGTGGAGCTGAACGTGACGGCTGCAGGTGAATGAGAGCGTCGTGCTCACCACGCGGTGGCGCTGTAACTCGTACAGTCGCTCGTGCAGACGGTGGTGGCTGGGTGGTCAAGGGTCCCAGAAGGTGCAGAGCTGGACAGCGGTCATTGTAGTCTCGGCAGATACTCTTGATGGAAGCGAATCTGGTCTGTGTCCCTGCATTTAGTGTCTTTCTGCTGCAAGTGAAGCCGTGTTGAGCGAGTGGTCTTTCCCTGGTGCATATGAAGCCGAGTGTTCTCTCCCTGCTGCACGTGAAGCCGTTTTGAGTCGCTGGGTGGGGGTCTCGTTGAGCCCCCCTCTCTGTGTAGGTTCTTGACACCGCCGTCTGTGTCTCTGCTGCTCCACAGTCGCACAGCAGTGCAAGTGGCACGACTGTCGCTGCGGCAGGGGCGGTCGTCGTGATCGTGGTAGCAGCGGCTGCCGCTGTTATGCAGAAACGCCGTTGTGTGCTTGTATGTCCATCACGGTGTGTCGATGTGGGCTTGTGTATGTGTGGCTATCACTCAATGTATTCTCGGGGTTCGTTGTAAAGTTTCACATCTTGGCATCTCTCAGTCTGTTTTCTACGCCTGTGATTGTCCCACTCTACGTGTCTACAACCCAGTTTGTGTAAGAGAGAGGGGTGAGGGGGGTCACAGTGCTCCTACTGAGTGTTTGGTGCTATGGGCGACTCCACACAGCTGGGAGATCGCCTCACGGATCCGTTGCCCTCAGTGATTTATTGAGAGACCGCGCGATGCAGAGGCACGGGACGTTCCCGTGGCGGGGCCCAGTGCATCCAAAACAGCAAATTGAGAAGCTAAGTTTTGTTAACAGTGACGACACCATCACACGTGATGCTCACGGCCACGCTGGTCCAGCCACTCGCTTTAAAGATCCGCGGAAGGCCGCGCGCGTCTCTTCCACGTGGAACCTCGCCACGGCAAAGTGGAGGGTCGCCTTCTGCTCTCGGGAGCGGTGGTTGAGCCGGTGCCGGAAATTCCACATTGCCCTGTCGGGGGCCAGACTCTCTCCTCTGTGGGGCCACCCCCAGTCGATTCTGACAGTGGTACTCAATTTATCCGCCACGACTGGGATCTGTGCCACTTCGGGCTGATTGTAGGGATCTCTCTGAGCACAGCCGGGAGGCTGCGTCCGAGTGGAACTTCCGCGGGTTTCTCAATGCGATGGAGAATTCACTCACAGCCAATGGGTGGTAAGGGTGTGTGGATGGTGGTGTGTGGATGGGTGTGTGGTGTTGTTCACTGCAAAGGCAGTCGACTCCGCTTCTTAACCACCATCCACACCACACTAAGTACCATCACCCACACCACCCACACACCACCACCACCCCACACGCACACCGTCAACCCATGGCACCTGCTGGGTCTGTCCCGTGACCTCCTGTCAGCAGAGAACCGTCGACACTGCACGTCGCCCTAAAGTGCACCTAGCCTGGCACAGGCGCCATGGTGACGTCACCACCACTTGCGAATAGTGGCTGCTGTTGCTGGGACGTAGTTGAGGGTGGCGGTGATGACAGTGAGGGTGGTGAGGGTGGTGGTGATGAGAGTGAGGATAGTGATGAGGGTGGTGGTGATGAGAGTGAGGGTGGTGAGAATGAGGGTGATGAGAGTGAGGGTGGTGGTGATGAGAGTGAGGGTAGTGAGGGTGGTGGTGATGATAGTGAGGGTGGTGATGAGAGTCAGGGTAGTGAGGGTGGTGGAGAGTGTAGTGAGGGTAGTGAGGGTTGTGGTGGTGAGGGTGGTGGTGAGGAAGCCAAGGGGAGCTCACAGACGAGACAGCCTCACGGTCAACACCTTAAAGATGGCGCCCGTGAAGCTGGGCGCGTCCATTCTCACTGTGGGGGGAGGGGGGGCACAGCTGGGATGCTGCTTCCGAGTGTCGGGTTTCTCAATGCGATGGAGAATTCACTCACAGCCAATGGGTGGTGTGTGGATGTGTGGGTGGGTGTGTGGTGGTGTGTGGGGGGTGTGTGGTGGTGGTGTCGTTCACTGCAAAGGCAGTCGACTCTGCCTCTTAACCACCAGCCACACCACCACCGACACTCAGCAACCACCACCACATAAAGTACCATCACCCACACCACCCACACACCATCACCCCACACCGTCAACCCATGTCACCTGCTGGGTCTGTCCCGTGACCTCCTGTCAGCAGAGAGCCGACGACACTTCACGTCGCCCCAAAGTGCACCTAGCTTGGCACAGGCGCCTTGGTGACGTCACCACCACTTGCGAATGGCGTCTGCTGTTGCTGGGACGTAGTTGAGGGTGGTGGTGGTGAGGGTGGTGATGAGGGTGGTAGTGAGGGTGGTAGTGATGAGGGTGAGGGTGGTAGTGATGAGGGTGGTGAGGGTGGTGGTGATGACAGTGAGGATAGTGAGGGTGGTGGTGATGAGAGTGAGGGTGGTGAGAATGAGGGTGGTGAGAGTGAGGGTAGTGAGGGTGGTGGTGATGACAGTGAGGGTAGTGAGGGTGGTGAGAGTGAGGGTGGTGAGAATGGTCGTGATGAGGGTGGTGGTGGTGAGAGTGAGTGTAGTGAGAGTGGTGAGGGTGGTGGTGATGAGAGTGAGGATGGTGAGGGTGGTGGTGATGAGGGTGAGGGTGGTGAGGAAGCCGAGGGGAGCTCACAGATGCGACAGCCTCACGGTCAACGCCTTAAAGATGGTGCCCGTGAAGCTGGGCGCGTCCATTCACATTGTGGGGGGGCACAGCTGGGAGGTTGCTTCCGAGTGGACCATCTTCGGGTCTCTCAATGTGATGGAGAATTCACTCACAGCCAATGGGTGGTAGTGGTGTGTGGATGGTGGTGGTGGTGTGTGGATGCCTGTGTGTTGTCGTTCACTGCAAAGGAAGTCGACTCTGCCTCTTCACCACCATCGACACTCAGCAACCACCACCACACAAAGTACCATCACCCACACCAACTACCACCACCCCACACGCACACCGTCAACCCATGGCAGTCTGTCCCGTGACCTCCTGTCAGCAGAGAGCCGTCGACACTTCACGTGGTAGCCTCAACATGCACCTAGCTTGGCACAGGCGCCTTGGTGACGTCACCACCACTTGCGAATGGTGGCTGCTTAGGCCTCGGCAAGGTAAGGTAATTTACCCTTTTTACCGGGTAAAAGGGTAAAGGTGTCGACATGCCAAGGGGTAAGGTCAAGGGTCTGGTAAAGGTAGCGCGAAGTATTACCCGGTAAATACGGTACCTTGTTTACTGCTAAAAACTCCGTGGCGCAGTCCGTGGCTTCCATTTAATAAGTAATATTTTTAAAAAACTTTATTAAAAACACGCTTTTATGAAATGTACTCGTAATGGCAGAACTCCACGACTCCAGGAAGTGGCCCGGAAGCTTGCCATAACGTAAGGGACCGTGGTGATTTACAGCTAACGTCAGTTTACCGTGGACAATTAGACACAAGCCGAAGCATAACTTATAAAAAAATGTTTTAAAATATATATATTATGATAGAATATATTGTCATCAGTATGACATAAGTATACCAAGTTTGCAGTCGATACCACATTGGGAAGTGGGTTAAAATTGAGTTACAATATTTGAGGATACGACAACAACAAAGACGACAACAACAAAGACGACAACGACAACAAAGACGACAACAAGCGTGTAAAATTGTAATCATCGAGAGTATTCTATACGAATGAAGCGCTCTACCCAGCATTTACCGTTATAAACCTTGTTCATGTGTAGTAGTACCTCAGTAATTACCCTGTAATCGGGTTATTTGTATGGGGTAAGGGTAAAAGGTAAAAGTAGGCTCGTTACTTTTTACCTTTTACCTTACCTGCTAAAGGGTAAAAGGTAGGGTAGAGTGATTGTATTGTGGTAAGGTAAAAGGTAAGGTAGGCTTGTTTTTTACATTTTAACTTTTACCTTACCTTGCTGAGGCCTACAGCTTCTGTTGCTGGGACGTAGTTGAGGGTGGTGGTGATAATGAGAGTGAGGGTGGTGGTGATGAAAGTGAGGGTGGTGAGGGTGGTGGTGATGAGAGAATAGTGAGGGTGGTGGTGATGAGAGTGAGGGTGGTGAGGGTGGTGGTGCTGAGAGTGAGGGTAGTGAGGATGGTGGTGCTGAGAGTGAGGGTAGTGAGGATGATAGTGATGAGAGTGAGGGTGGTGAGGAAGCCGAGGGGAGCTCACAGACACGACCGCCTCACTCAAGGTCAATGCCCTAAAGATGGCGCCCGTGAAGCTGGGCGCGTCCATTCTCACTGTGTGTGTGGGGGGGTTATTGATGAAATGCTTCACCTGATTGTACCAACTCCTACACTACAGAGTATTCACACCGAGTAAAGCACTCAACAAAAATATGTCTAAGTCCACTGTCAACGCAATCACACGTTTTATTTTTAAGTTGCACAGTTTACAGTGCAGCCCGAACGACAAAGTGCCCCACCCCTCATGCCTCTGCGTGGTTGGTAGAGCCCGTGGCGGACTCAGCAACATTTTGATTGCAACAGGAAAGGCCCCGGCCGTACTGAGTCGCTCTTTTTTGCTGAAGCGGCCTGGCCACCACAAATGAAAGTTTAACGAAGCGGCTCTTATAGCAGCAGCAGCCAAATACTCTAAACGCGTGATGTTAATTATAAATGAGGCGGAAAAGCCCGAAGACAAATCCACGCGACCAATATATACAGCAGGCGTCAGGGTTGAACCCACGACCTCCTGTATAGCAGGCGAGGTAGTTAACATCTCCTAGCCACCGTATTGATGAGAGGCACATAAACTTCAAATATACAGCAGGCGTCTGGATCGAACACATGGCCTCCTGTATACGAGGCGAGGTAGTTTACATCTCCTAGCCACCGTGGTGTTGTGAGGGCGATGCTAACCTCTGGCCCAATCTGTCGTTGTTTCACTGCCTACGCATTCGGTGGTGGTGATGGTGAGGTGACAGCACCCCGTGGGGCTAGACGTGGCTGGAGGAGACAACACCGCTGAGCTTCCTGGATCCAGAGAGACTCGCAGAGGGCATGGGCGGACGTCTCCAGAGCTGCAGTCCGGGTCAACTTTGGAGTTCATCTGCTGTCTGTGTCGTGACTGAACGTTGCGAAAGATATCCCATGTTGCCCACATGGGATTCCTTTACGCTTTCTGGTGACCATAAAAAGAAGGTGAAGAATTTGGGACATATATTTATTCTTGATTCTACAAGTGGCAGAATTGTTTTTCTTCCACACTTGACTCATTGGTATAGCCAAAGTGTGTCATTGTGTGCCTCAAATACCCCAAACATCAGGAGACCAAATCTCACAAAAAACACTGACCTATACCTGTCAACCCATACGGTTCACCTGTATTCCTGTACAAGGAAATTGAGTTTTCAGGTCCATACGGCGTACAGCCGTTTCAATACGAGCAAAAAAACACGACATTTTTGTCTTTGTTTCTGCCTTGTGATGGGACTTTGTAGGATGAACGTTGAGATTTATAAGGGCACAGAGAGACCAATAAGGTCTGAATTGGTCTGTAATAAGGGAGGAGTCCATTGCAGTGCTTTTGTATTCTTATAGAATGGACGGTCAAGGCAGTCAGAGTAATCGCCGGTATTTACCAGGTGAGAATGCATGGAGACTGCCGGCCTCTCTGCTAATGCGATGTAGGTCAACGAGTAATATGAAAACTAAAGAAATAAAAACAGTTTCAATGGGGGCTGCTTCACCTCCCAAAATTATGCGAATGTATAAACAAAACAAAAAAGATAGAAACAGGGGTCTGACAGAGTGGAATAAATTACAGCTTGGGGTGTGTGAGAGTCTGATGGATGAGGAGGGTGGACGCAAGACCAATAGCCTTTGATCTCCTATATTTATAAAACAAGCGTGGACAACAGGAATCCAGACCACCGTGAGACCAGTTTTACAGAATCTGCTGCTCTGCTGCAAGTCCACAGGGAAGGGCAGTGTGGCTCAACTTCCTTGGAAGATTAAATTCTTGGAGGGCTGTCTCTGTAACTGGGACGTAGCTGCTACGACAACCATATTGGTAGGAGTGGAGTGGATCTCTGGGCGTCCCGAAAGATAGCAGGAAGTTAGATTGCCCTCTCCCTGTCACACTTTGAAATCCTCTCGCACGGAATGAGGGCCGCTGATAACGCTCTTAGCATTCATTCCCCGTGAACTGTGTTCATTTGTTGCTGGGTGCAGCCACCGTGCGGTTTGTAAACTCGTGTTCTTGTTCCTCAGTGGCGATGGGCAAGCAGATGTGCACGGTGATGTGGAGGAGAATGGGCACCCACTGATGATGGTGAATGGACACAAGGGGGACAACGGAGACAAAGGCAGGGACGCCGTTTGAAGAAATCTTCTGTGGGCTCCCCCGTGACCACCCTGGCCGGCACGTGGAGCCGCTCTTACCCACAGTGCCATGCGGGAGTGCAGTGCTGACTGCCTGTGGTTCATGAGCTGATTGTTTACAGACCTTGCTTTTGTCATCTCTCTCCCTCTCTGTGACTCTCCACACTCCTCTTTGACCACTTCAAATCCCTCACCGCTAAATTCCACACGATCCAGAATCGTACTGCTGCCTCCCATCACAGCTTCTGTAAATTAAATTTCATCATCCCAATCCTCAGATCCCCCCACTGGCTCCGAATCCGGTCCCCAATCGACTGAGACATCGCACTCTGCACCGACACGATCCTCCATAGACTTTCCACTACCTCTCGTCTCTCTGTTCAGGGGGTCCCCAATATAGGTCAGGGTTATAGACAGAAATGTTGCGACTTATAACAATACGATGTATAGCAGGGACTTTTCCCTCATAGTAATACTACTCCGTGTTAATGGAGGGAAGATGGGGACTGTGAGAGCATAAACATTGCCTATGCGACACAAAGTGGAGCAGTTTGTCCCATAAGAAACAATGGAATAAGGTAGGGATAGGGACCGTACCTTAGGGAAATGTGTTGTGTTTCATTCCTAGCAACCAAAATACGTACTTTACATGTACAGACAACTACATACTCTATGTGTACAGAACTTTACAACACAGTGTACACACATTTATAACCAATTATGAGTTCAACAATTGTTAAACAGCGTTTAAACTTATCAAGCACTTTATTGAAAACCAGCTTTATTAGCATTTCGAAGCAGCCCTCTACACTTTAAACCGTTTTCCTTTTCTTAACAGAAAAACGAATTTGGGACAGTTTTATGCAAAGACTCTAGCAGAAAACTATTTTTAGTGGAAAAAAGCTCTAAATCATGAACAGCTTTTTAAAAAAATGTTAACTTAACATACATTGTTTATGAAATGTTACATTACGTTCCTCAACATGTCAGCGACGTGAGTGCGAAACAAGGTAGGGTGTGCGTATATCGAGACGATGAACATCAGGGACCTCCTGCACTCCCCACCACATGTTCTCCACTCCAGCCAACAAGGCCTTCTGTCAAAACCCTCAGTCAACCCCTCAATGTCTGGTCGCTTATTCTCACCCAATCATTAAACGAGGATCCATGAGTCGCAAGACACTGTTTTGTACACGTGGGAGGTAACTGGAGTAACCTTTAATTCACGCAGATCGGAGTCAGTCCCACTTGCCCCACTACCTTTTTATGGCCACTTCATAGCCCAGTGGGTTCAGGGGAATCTCACAAATCTGTGATTCGTGAATCCTCAACTCCATGGCACCCCGCCGCTCTCACCGCAGATTCCCCCTGCTCGTGTCCAGGCTCCAGACGTTTCCATCTTTCCATCTGTCTCTCCTCACCTGGGCTGCACCACCGCTGTTTTCCATCTCCCGTGAGCTCCCTGCAGATTCCCTACAGCCGCTTCCTGCTCCACTTAATGTGTCAGCATTGTGTGTCTGTGTGTGAACCTGAGTGGGTGTGTGAGTTGTGTGTGTTTCCTTGTGTATGTGTGAGCCAGAGGGGGTGGTATTGGAGTGTGGTTGTGGTGTAATAACAGTTGTGTGTGTGGTGTTAAGGGACCAGAATCTGTGTGCATTGCCCACAGAATGCACGAGTCTGACGACTCAAAGAGGTTCCCACACTGGGACTGTTTGGCACGTTATTTATTGACTGTGTCTTACGTGCACTATGCTCTGCAATTCCAGATGTGCCTTGAGATTGCATATTTACTACTGTCTATGTTTACCGTTGGGAGGTGTGGGTCAAGAGGACTGGTTGAACTTATGGGCTATGGGCCATAGCCCATGGCAATCCACGTGACTTTACCGAAAGAAACAAGAAGATGAATCCCTGCAGTCACGAAAGCTTCAAATCGAAATTTAACCGCCTCTACGGGGAGGGTTTCCACATAACTTTGAGATCCTTCAACAAGCTCCGGGATAAGAAGGCTCAGCTAATCGAGTCTCTCACCTTTCTGAAGAGATGCCGCGACTCTAAGGTAATACCAAACGCATTTACACTAACATCTGCTGCTGTAACTTCTTCTAATGCGAAACGAATTCTGTCTAGAACTAGCTTAGCTCTTATCTCAGAGAAAATCAGACTTACGCGCACCGAACTAGATCAGTTAGACAAGACACTCTACAAATCACACTTATCTTTGAGTGTAACAATGTCCACATCGGATTGGGAACATGTGGAAAAAATGACTGCCTCTTCAGCTGCCGCTATGTCGACTAAATGTAAGGACAACTTGATTTCCAAATTCAATCGCCTCTCAAACAAGAAACCGGACCCACACATTGAAAAGCTAGATATTAACAAAGTCGTAATTAATCGCAGTAACAGTCCTATTTCTGAAGGTTTGAAATCCGTTTTAGCTAAAGGACTAAACTTTGCAGTCACACCTAGACACATACCAGTTAATGATATAATTGCTCGAGTAGATGTAGCTCTCAAGGGCTTGAGTCACATCGCTGCAGACGTAGCAAGATCTGAAATCTCTGTAACCCTCAAAAACGCTAAGATGCCAGCTAGCAACATCAGCAAAGAGGAGCGTTTTGAATTAGCTCAATTAAAAAAGAGGGATGACATTGTCATCCTCTCAGCCGACAAAGGCAATGCCACTGTCATCATGGACAAAATAGAATACAACAACAAAATTCAAGAACTATTAAACGATGGCAGCTATACAAAAATAAAAAGAGACCCCACCAACAGCCTCGTCTCCAAAACCAACAACATCATTTCTGCTTCAACCGCATTAATTGATCAGACCAAACAGTTCTCGTTGAAACCT